TACAGGTGAGTGGTGACGGTTCATATCAGTTACAGGTGAGTGGTGACGGTTCATATCAGTTACAGGTGAGTGGTGACAGTTCATATCAGTTACAGGTGAGTGGTGACAGTTCATATCAGTTACAGGTGAGTGGTGACGGTTCATATCAGTTACAGGTGAGTGGTGACGGTTCATATCAGTTACAGGTGAGTGGTGACAGTTCATATCAGTTAGATGATGGCCTTAATATATTGACCTATGGGGTGCAGCTACCACTCTACTCTTGTTTATTTGAACATTTTAAATGTTAATAAAAATGTCTCAAGGACAGTTTCTTAGTCCTTTGATCTATATTGCCAACTTCTTTCCCCCTTTCTTTGGATTTACTTTAGAAATAAATGCACAGACCAACATTTTCTCAATATACATTATTTTTGAGGGCATTCAAAACAAAGGACTAACAGATCTGCGTGTCAAATATGACTGACCCACTTGAATGCTCGTTGCGTAATCCCTGCAGGGAATTTATACAGTGTCTTTTCGGGAATTAAGTAGCAAACTTTGTAGTGACTCACCATATTTGATCCACGGATCTGTTAGTCCGCTGTTCTGATGACCTTCAGATGACCCTATGACCTTCAGATGACCCTATGATGACCTTCAGAATCTGTTCTATTTTCCAGATTGTGTATGAACACCTGGGGGACCTCCTGTCTGTCCTCATTACTCTGGATGAGATAGTGGAGAGCCACGAGACACTGAAGGAACACTGGACTTTGTACAAAAGGTATCTCATACTGGCTCAGTTTATATTGAAGTCTGTACAGCCAATTATATTGAGATGTGATATCCACTTTTATCTTTTCAACCATGATTTAGCATTACTCATAAAAAGAAATAAAGTAGTAATCATTGAGTAAAATGTTTTCACTTTTCGAAGTAAAAGCTGGTATGTTCTACAAAGAGTGTTACTATCCTGTGTCTGACTATGGTTGTGTATATGGTCATGTTAGACGGTTTTTATTCATGCTATTTCTGTTGTAATATTTGTATATATTAATATGAAGGATGTTGAAGTCAGTCCACCACAACCCTACCAAGTTTGGGTTCACAGATGACAAGCTGCGGCCTTTTGAGAAGCTGCTGATGAGGCTGGAAGGACAACTGTTAGATGGGATGATTTTCCAGGTAAAGAAAGTGAAAAATGTATCTCCCTAAAACTTTTTTAGCATATTTTAGAGATAATCATTATAATCCTCTTTAATTTCAAATTTTTTTCTGAGACAATTATAAAAATCTGCCCAAACTCATTACAATATTTTAACTGCATCTATTTGATAACTCCCTGCCCAAATTAAATAACACATTTGCAATTAGGCACAAAGTATGCAGCTTTGAACAGTGTAATAAGCCACATAACTGACTGGTTTCAGAACTGTGTGGAGCAGCAGTTTGATGACAGGACTGTGCAGGTGTCCAAGAATGGCATGTTTGCTGAGGAGTTTGCCCTCAATGTTAGAACCTACCTGAACCAAGTGGAACCTAGACTAGGTAATATGCTAGGTTTACTGTCAATGTCAGAACTTACCTACCTGAACCAAGTGGAACCTAGACTAGGTAATATGCTAGGTTTGCTCATGGCTGTCACAACCTGCCTAAATCAAGTGGTACCTAGACTAAGTAATGTGCTAGGTTGTCTCTGAATATGTGAACTAACTCAATTCCAAAATTGTGAATTCACTGTTGTTTTTACTCCAAATGTTTCATTCTGTCGTCTTCTTCCAGGCGAGACTTCAGAGACTGACCAGAGACTGAAGTTTGTGGGTGTCTGTGGGCTCTATGTTCTCCACTTCCAGATCTTCAGGGTCATTGATAAGAAAGTCTTCAAGCAAATGTGGGATGTCTATAAAAAGGTTTGTCATTCATGGCTATCAGTATTTGTCTATGTTTGTATTGATTTAGAAGAATAAAATCATTTTCTAGGAAATAATATTGATTTTGTTTGGGGGTAAAATATATCATTGTTATCCACTAAAAGCTATATTATTCATTTTGAGTAGATTTCTTTGGTTTGCAACATGAAAAGATATAGCAATTAATTCATACATGAATTTCCCCATATAGCCGTGGTATGAATTTTAAATCTTATTTCGAATCTTTCTCAAGGTCCCTGCAGTGTCTCTGGTAGGTAATGTTGTGTGGTATTCCAATGATTTCCTGACCCAGAAGTTACCCCACATGGCCAGAGCTCTGGATAGGAAGGTACAGCAGGCAGTACCATCACATAGACAGGCCTGGCTACAGCAGAAGTCACAGAACTTACAGAGGTAAGTAAACAACACTAAGCTCCAACTGGTACATTGATATCCTTGGCTGAAATAAATTTAAATTAGTTTTTGATTTAACTTATTGATTTAAGCATTTCCTAGTTTAAAAATGTGAAGAATTAATTATCTATCTGAAGTAATCTGCATTTTCTCATCTTAATGTTCTTTGTTCAGTTTTTTTTCTGAAACCTTGGTACTGACTGACATCTTTCAACCAAAAAATACTGTGTTTAATATTAACAAAAAAATACATAGCCTTGATTTTTGAACCAAATAAACAACAAACCATATAAAAAAGATATTTTGTTTTCCTTTAAAGAAATATTTGTGATTTTTTTTTTTTTGCAATCCTGAAGAGAAATATATATAATAATTTGTGTTCTTCCAGAGACGTGCATGCGTTTGATGTTCAGGTCAGTGCCTGGATGGTACAGATGGAGTCTTACTTGGAGAAAGCCAGCTCTTTAATGGAGGACCTCAATCAGAGGAGTAGTCTCTTCATTCAGGTAGGCAGGCACTGTTCAGGGACAGATCCAGAGATATTTTCTGACAGACATTCTTCCAAATCATCTTTGTTGATCTGTGCTCCATTCTTGATTGTTCTTCCAAAGGAAAAAATTAGATGCCCGTCAATGTAAACTCGAAGAATTCAGACCGTCTTCCAGAAGACCCGGAAGATGGCTTCCATCCACCCCTGCTGTTTGAATGAGATAATGCACTGTCAACTGAATGTTATGTACCAGAACAACTTGAGTGTCAGAGAGGTTTTCAAGGTCTTGAGAGAGGATGTCAATGTATTATTTGACATACATACCAAGAGAAAGTGCTGGCATTTCACCAAAAAACACCCCTAAAACTGAGTAAAGCTAATATTGCCACAGTCACATAACATCTCTAGGTGTGGTGTATTAATGTATCAGAAGAGCATACATGAGTTTGGCATATACCTAAAGATTCCTTTAAATTTCATTCTCCCTGTATAACTTCATAATATGATAAGTATGTTTTACTTTGTGTAGATGTCAGTGTTATTTCCAGGGAGTGTTATACGCCCACAATATCAGCCACCTGGTGAGGACAGTGATGAACCTTCATGTGGCCCTCAGTAAACCTATGACCAAGACCTCAGTGCTTAGTCTCTGTAGACTAGTGGAGCTGCTCAAGGTAAGGAAGAAATACACTGGCAGCAGCACTGACAGTAACAGTGACAGTAACAATAACAGTATCAGTAGGAGGAAGTTAATGTACATAGGAAGTTCATTAAGTATTATGTAATAGAAACAAAGTGTTTTATACTACCTAACACAAGCGTTATGTGAGGCAGAAATCTTTGATAATATAAAAAAGATGCAGCAGTTATTGCAATATGTATACAGTATTCTCATTTGTTTCCCCCCTCCCTTTGAAAAGCATATAAGTATGTAAGGATGAATCACCATCTTGTCTTCTATTTTCCTGCAGGCCATAGAGCACACATTCCACAGGAAGAGTATGTTGGTAGCTGAGTCCATGAACCATGTGATACAACATCTCACCTTCCAGGCTCTCAACCTCATAGCTGTGGCCAAGGTTAGTATCAATCGCAGATGAGACTTTCCAACTTTTGTCAGAATTCTGACTTTTTCAGGGTCATTTGGGTCATTCTTGTGAATCATGTAAATCAGATGAATCATGTAAATCCTACCTTTTCAGTGAGGACTGGTCTCATCCCTGATTAATAATATTATTTTTAGGGGTCTTACATTCATTTGGAATGGGACTGTTTGATATTGCTCGTTATTGTTTTATTATTCTTTCTGAATTATTGTTTATGTTATAGGTGTTCCACTCTTGTAATAACATTGTTTAAACATACAATAAGCAACCAAATTAAATATTTTTGTGTAGGTATTTCTTTAATTTATTTTGAATAGTTTAACATAAATGTGTAACTGAGGAAGTATCTGATTTATTTTTGAAATTGTTTCAGCTTTGTAGTAAGATGGTTTGAATTATTTGATAAATATCTGAACTTATTTTTATAAGTATTTAAGTTTAAACTAATAGGAAGTACCTGATTCAGTTTGTAATCTCTGTGTTTCCAGAAAAAGATGATATCAGATCGTAAATACAGCGAGTCTAAGCTGGACATCCTGTCAGCCCTGGTGCTGGGGGAGAATGCTCTCAATGGACCAGGAACCAAGGAGAGAAGACTGATCACTTACCTAGCTCTGGCTGTGGGAGCAAGGATGGTATGTTACCAGGAGTTATAATGATATTATATATATGATAATATAAATAGTAATAACTCTCAATGGACCAGGAACCAAGGATAGATGACTGATCACTTACCTAGCTCTGGCTGTGGGAGCAAGGATGGTATGTTACCAGGAGTTATATTGATATTATATATGATAATATTTATTATAATACTTATAGTGATATCTAAATAATGGATAAATGTTATAATATTGGTAATTCAGACAATTAAGTGTGTATGTGAAGTATGTCTTGGAAAATATTTCTGTAATTAACTCATGCCTTACCTCATACACATAGCAAGCTGACTTATGACAGTAGATAATCTGTTAAAGATCATTTATCTCTTTGAATAGCATTATGTGAACTTCTTATTTTCAGAAAAGTTTCCGTGATGATGAGCTGGCCAGTCTGTATTCCACGCTGAAGAAACTGGACGCCATATGTGACCTGAGAGAGAAGTGAGTGGGGGTCCATAAGACTTCTGTCTCTGATATTCTATACTTGTACTCATAGCAGTGTCCACTCTGTTAATAGCATTTCTGTAAAGATCACTTCATGAAGTGCCAATTCCATGTTACTTTTAATATGTTTTTTTTTGTCAAATGGGAAGGTTGATTGTATTACCTCAAACAGGACACGAGGCAGAGTATAAATGCAATCCAAGTGCATGGGTGCCACGTTTTGTCTGCTTCAATCTATGTATTTATATCTTTGTATGAATGGAATACATGCACACATTACAAATTTAATGAAAAATTGTGTTATTGGCTGAATACACCAATCTTTTCAGAGACAATTTGGAGAGACAAAGTACAAGACTTTAATTATAAAAGGTTGACAAAGATCATATTCTACATGTAGAATTCTGTGTATTTCAGAGTGCACCAGGCCTGTGACTGCAGTTTTTTCTACTGGCACAGGGTGGTCTTCCCTATATATCTTGATGACTTGTTTGAGAATCCTACTGAGGCCCACAGACTACATGTAAGTATACTGTGGTGGGACAGGTCACTGAAAACCTGTGGAAACCATGTCACTTTGAATGAAAGCACCTTTATCTCATCATCAAGTTGAAGTTATTGAAAGAAGGTATTGAAAGTGAATCTGGGACCAGTTGGTTACTTTTAAATGTTAGATATCTTAGTGAAAATGGATCCAAGTATTTTTGAAGTGTTCCTGAAATATACTGCCACTGTGAAAGATCCCCTATCCCAAGTTCAAAACCTTCCAGAGATATTTATATTGATCCAAAAGGTGAAGAAAGAAGACGTAGTGGAAAAAATGTAAAGAAAATTGAAGTCATATCTTCTCTTTTATCATTGTTTTAATTTTGATTCCATATCTCAGTATATGATGGGAGCGTTAAGTGACAGTGTCCCGCTGATGAAGCAAGCCAGACATCTGACCAGTGCCCAGGTATTACTGGATGAGTTTGATAAAGAGGTCCACAGGGAGCTCAAAGATGTGAGTAGAATAAGAAAAATGATGTTGTTAATAATCTTTTTGGTCTTACTGGGCCAGTGCACTTACCTATGCACTTTAATTTTGTGTATTAAAAAATATATGATCGTTTTCATGTTATGGTTAATGATTTGTGAAGCATTTCTCACTGAATTTAGATGCTGTAGATATGAAATATGAAACAAAGTTTTGCCTTGAGCACAAAACTGATTTTCTGTACTGAGATTAAGACCTAGAGAATAAGTTAGGAATGAAATTGTTAATATGGAACCAACATTTATGGGTTCCTCTCAATGATTGCAGCACCTCCTGGGTCCCCTGTGTACTGAGATAGAGACAGACCTCCGCCTCCACATCCACTCCCATCTTCAGCTGGACGACCGCAATCCATTCAAGGTCGGCATGAAAGACCTGACGCCATTTTTACAACTTCGACCAATCAGATTGTTTGACAAGATGATAAATGTGAAAGGTAGGAGAGAGAAGGCAATGAAGAAAGTATGAGGGTCCCTGTGTTTCTGGTCTTCAAAATGGCTCAAAAATGAATACTTTGCTTCGGATTTTCAAATTCATTTCATATATATGCTAACTTCGCAATCTTTTTAATTGGCAAAAATTATCAATACTTCAAATTCTTAGTTTTGGAATCATATTTCTATACAGCATATATCATGCTTATACTGTGTAGAATATAACTTAAAGGTAGCCTGCTTTTCAATGTTGTTACCACCACAAATTTATTAGAATGTAATAATTTGAAGAGTCTATGACTTTGGCAAATGCTGTACAGTATATTTAGAATTTACAATTTTCACCTTTGAAAAAAATCTAGTGCTTAACCTAACCCTTATTATATAACATATTTCATATCTTTAGCCTTGATAATATGAATTTTTGCCATAATATTTTCTTATTTCTTCCCCCTCCCCCCCCAGCCCATGTTGAACACTACCTTGACCGCACCTTCTACAACCTGACCACCGTGGCCCTCCACGACTGGAAGACATACGGGGAGATGAAGAACCTGGCCACACAGAAATACAAGTTGAGGATGGTAGAGCCGCACCTACCAAGTCAAACTCTAGAACAGGTAGGAGGGGGAATGTTACCTGTCTGACAAAGAACAGCTGATGGAGTTAATAACTTTTCTGTGTCCAGTTTTCTGTTTTCATTTGAACTTGAGTGGCAGTCCCGTTTTGCTGTTTTTGGCCCTTATTTTGGGCTGTCTTTTAATACGTTAAGACTTGAGATATGTGATACGTTTTCAGCTACTTTCACATATTCTAGCTAATAGGATTTTATACCTTTGTGTATGCTAAGAACACATTGTAAATCTTCTGTAATAGACTTAATCTGGCACATGTCTATTGTTTATGGTGTTTCCAATTTCAGGGCTTGGATGTCCTGGAAATTATGAGGAACATCCATGTTTTTGTATCCAAATTTCTCTACAACTTAAACAACCAGGTAAGGCAGGATTGGGTTGACAGAGTGACATTTGATTTACTTTTATGTTATTTTTATTTATATTTATTTATCTATTTATTTTTATTTATTTATTTATTTATCTATTTATTTATTTTTTATTTTTTGACGTGTGTTAAGAAAAAAGAACAATTTGTTTGGTTAGAATTTGAACTATCTATAAAGTCGGTTACATTTAAAGGTCATGTTTATTGAATTCAAGTTTTGTTGGCGTTTTGTGAAACCACAGCTCATGAAATCATGAATTAAAAGGTCTTTGCTTTAAGGTCATTACCTTAAAAGTCAAGTTTTAATGTCATTATTTAGAAGTTGTATAAGCCCTGTCATGCTATGGTAGTGTCATCATGGAAGTGGTGAAGGTCAGACAGGCAAGTTTGCCTGATGACATGGTTTTGTTGCAGTTTGTTAAATGTTAAATGTTTTCCAGAAACTGTGAGGTAATTGACCTGACTTGGCAGATCTGTGAAAGTCACTGAGAGTACCCAGACACGAGTTTTTTCCATGGAAACTCAGATTGCAGCATTTTTTAAAATTCAATTTTGATGTTTCCTGAGATTCGTCAAGATCTGCAATAAAATCTGGGTTGGGTCCCATGTTCAGAGTTTATTTTTTCAAACCTAGGCTCAAGTCTGAGTAACTCTGAAAACTTTCACAATTCTAGGAATCAAATTAAATGTGTACCTTTCTAATAGAGAGTTTTAATTTGGTGATCTAACAAAGAGAAAAAGAATTTGATGATTTTATCCTATTTTTTTCTTCAGATTTTCGTAGAGAGGTCCAGCAATAATAAGCACCTGAACACTATCAATATCCGCCATATTGCCAACTCCATTCGTACCCACGGCACGGGCATTATGAACACCACTGTAAGCATAGATAATAAAATATTGTACCCACGGCACAGGCATTATGAACACCACTGTAAGCATAGATAATAAAATATTGTATCCACGGCACAGGCATTATGAACACCACTGTAAGCATAAATAATGAAAAATTAAATCAAACAAGCTAAATAGAGGGAAAAGATGCTGTACTAGTAGATGGGAATGGATATCATAAGTTCTATTTCTCAAAAAACAATGTTGATTATTTGTTATATGTTTAATGATATTGATTTTTCCCCAGGACTTTTTATTGTTTATATTGAATTCCCTCTTTGGTAATGTATCTTTAAAAGTAAGTATTTTGAAAAGGTAGCAGGATGTTCTCTCCTTTCACTTTTACAAAGAAATCATTGGGTTAACATTTTCTGTTTCAGGTGAACTTTACATATCAGTTTCTCAGGAAGAAGTTTTTCATCTTCTCCCAGTTTATGTATGATGAACACATCAAATCCAGGCTGATCAAAGACTGGAAGTTCTTCAGAGAAAATCATCTGCAAACAGATCAAAAGGTTTGTTTACTTCTCTTCCATTGACAAGATATAGTACATGTACATCAAGATATTGAATTCAACATCATACAAATATTTGTCGTCAATGAAGGATTTCAAATTAACGTAATAAATAAGCTGTTCAATATGTTTATCTTGTACAAGATTATACATGTAGTATATATAATGATTGTAACATTTTAATAAAAAATGAGTTTGTTACCATTCTTTAAGACTTATTTACAGTACATTTACTTATTTAACATACTTCAGTTTAATAAATTTGGCACATCTTGGCAGGACATATGACAGTCACTGTATTTGAAGACAAATTATTTCCTATTTTCTAGTATCCATTTGACAGAGCAGAGAAGTTCAACAAAGGTATCCGCAAACTTGGTCTGACACCAGAGGGCAACACTTACCTGGACCAGTTTAGGCTACTTGTGGGACAGATAGGTAGGTTTTTACTCACCAGAGGTCAGCACTTACCTAGATTAGTTTAAGCTACTTGTAGAACAGATACCAGTAGGTAGGTTGATGCCAGAGAGAAAAAAGTGAGGATATTAATTCTTAACGTCTTGTACAAGTACATATTGATACATGCAATTATCTTTTCCTATATGGTATTACTGTAATTTCTGTTCCAACCAACAGGTAATGCGATGGGTTACATCCGTATGATCCGTTCTGGTGGACTCCATTGCTGCAGCAACGCAATCCGCTTTGTGCCAGATTTAGAGGACATTGTGAACTTTGAGGAGCTGTGCAAAGAGGAGGGTCTGTCTGCAGAATGCCAGAGGGCAGCAGGGTAGGTTAAACTGGAGTCTAGGGGGCAGCACATGGCATGTCTGACAGTTTCACTAATTGATATACATTTGTAATTTTGGTTAAAGTCAGTTGGAAAAAACTTTGTGAGTGTCAGAAAATGATTTATGTTGTTTTAATAACTATTTATAATACTGATTTCAGGAATTTGGACAATGTCATTGGAAATATGGCCAAGAATTTTGCAGAAGGAACAGAATACTTCAAGGTTAGTGCTGACAGCTAAGATTCTGGGAGTGATCTGTAGTTTATAAAATAAATCAAATCAATGAAAGTCTTGACTAAGTCATATTTATCAAACACCTCTTTTGCTAATATGATCTGTGTATTATTGCTATCCTATATAGTAAAATTTTGTTATCTTTTTGTACTGAAACTTGTTATGTTATTGCAGCAAAATGAATCAAATTTTTCTATTCTCAATTTTCAGCTTCTGGTGGATGTTTTTGCCCCAGAATTACGAGATCCCAAGAACATGCATCTTAAGAACTTGTTTGTTATTCTTCCACCCTTGGTGAGTGAAAATTTATCTTTACACATTGATCATGCTAAAGTGGTGGAGCTTATTATTGTGTCTTTTTTATTGTAGAAGGAGTAAATGAAAAAATAAAGATTTTTTTTATTTATTTACTTCTTTTATTTAAATTCATGCATGCAGGTAAAAGGTTGCATAAGGAGTAATTGAAAGCAATTCTATCAAGTTATGTACGGAATGCTAAAATAAAAGACAATCTTGTACAGGGTCCAAAAACTACCAAAGTTAGATTTATGACATGTACAAATCTTTTTTAGTCTTACTAATTTTAAAACTTTCTTCCAGACCCTGAATTTTGTAGAACACAGCATCAGCAGCAAAGAAAAAATGACCAAAAAGAACAAAGTTGGTGCCGCTTTCACTGATGATGGTTTTGCCATGGGTGAGAAAGATTTTCTGCTCAGATCCAATTCTGATTTAGAGCCTATCACACATATTATGCTATCTTCAAATACAAGTTATGAAAAGGCAGCTTCATCACATGCATAAATGAAATTTGCCAAAAGTTCTCTGTGTCAGAGATTGTGTCACCCATACGCAATCATGCACTTATTAGCTCTATGTATTCTGTTATGTTGTAGGTGTTGCCTATATTCTGAAGTTGTTAGACCAGTACCATGAGTTTGACTCTCTTCACTGGTTCCAGTCAGTCAGAGAAAAGTATTCCAAGGAAAGGGTAGGTACTGACATATAACAGCAGCCCTGGTAAAAAAGATATTCTTTATATTTTTCTCTCTGTCTGATATTCTTGGAAAAATATGTGTAGTGTGAGAAGAAAATTCATACTGGTGTTCACCATTCAACTGATGCTTATAAGTGAATGGTGTTACACGATTTCAAAAGAAAAAATTCAACTATTGACCTCTGCCTCTCTGACAATTACTTATTAAGTTAATTCATTTCATAGTTGAACACATCCCTCATTGTCTTTGAAAAAAAGATACAATTGCCTTTGGTAAAGTTTGTACTCATTTTGGGATGTTTTCTTTCAGCAACAAGTTTTACAACAGCAGCAGTCCAATGTTAGCCGTTCTGACGACAAACTTCAGCAGACGATGACTCTCACAGTGAAGAGGCTGGATACGTATTTGAAGGTATGGAATGGGGTTGGACTTTGGTCAGCCTACTAGAAAGATGTATTTAAACTCATTTTATTCAGTGTATATTTTTTTATTGTTTAATGATTCTTATTGATTACTTATAAAAAAAAGGAAATTATCAGTCTATATACCACACAAGATAAGAAGTGGTTCTGTTTGATAAAAGTACAAATAATTATTGACTTCCTGCTCTCAGGTTGGGTGTCCATATGTCTGTTACACACTATGCTGTCTAGGTGGTAATATGCTGTCATAATTGACATTAAAATGAGGAAAATTGCTTTGACATGGGGAATTAATGTTCATTATTTAAAGTAAGGTAATTTGTAATGACCGATTTGCATGATTTTTGTGACTTTTTACCATTTCCACTTCTTTTGATATTTAAAATAGTATGAAAAATTTAAAAAAAACAACAACAAAACATGAGTTGCCAGTTAGTTAATTCATAGGCAGGACAGGCTAAATCTTATAGTTTGCCTTAATGTTACATACTTTGGACTGAGCAATGAGAAGAAAAAACTTGCAAGAAGGAATGAAGTATTTTTTCTCCTATCTCAGTAAATACTGGCCAATGACCTCTGCTTTGTAGTACAGTTTTAACTGTGTAATGTCAGAATAGACTTAGTATTTAAATGTCCATATGTGTTGAAGGTCAAGACGTGCCATATGTTGTCCATAGTAGAGCCTAAGTCAAAGGTGTGTCCTTTACTGCTGCACTGTTTTATGGCAGGAACGAGGACACCTGTCCGAGGAAAAAGAACTGAAAGTGAAAAGATGAATAAACGATCTGTGTCAGGGGCAGATTGAGGCCTTCTTCTGGGTCTTGTGGAAGACGTTCAGATTGTTTCAAGTTTACATTGAAGGGCATCTAATTTTTCTGTTGGAATACAGTCAAAAATTAAAAATGGGTGAGAAAGACAATTGGGAAGACTGTCAGAAAATACCTCTGGATCCTCCCCTGTATGTAGATAGAGAAAAAGGGAGATTGTGTTGTGGAAAGAGATTTCCCAGTACGTGTTTGCTGACGTGACATTTATATTCATTAGCTCTGGGCCAAATAGCCAAGGAGGCATACTCATATACAGCAATAGAAATGAAAATTAAAAATAAAGATCAAATATATTCCCAATATGAACCAAATGCTGCACTCTCCCGCTATTCCATATGTAACCAGATAATGTCAGCAGTCAGCTGTGACCCTGAGTTCTGATCAGTGATAGCCCCATTAGGCCATATCCCACTGCCATTGATGACCTAGGACACAATAAACATGAAATATTGTAATTGATTTGAATCTAATTTGGCAGTGCAACCTATTCTACACATGTTGGATGACATGTGATGAGGTCTTGGTCACAAGTTTAGTACTTCCATTGGACAGGGGTCAGATGTAGTATTCATGGTACTAGCTTTTAAATGGCCAATTATTGTAATTTATACATGTGACATCTGATGATTTTGTAATTAGGAGTTAATGTGGAATTCTTAAAGGTCCAGAGGAACATGAAATATCTCAATAAAATCTTCTAATTGATTAGTTAATGCTCTCTGTCATACACTTCTTTTGGTTTACTGCTGAGGGCAACTGTTAGTGTTCACTCATTACTTTTATTGTTCTGCATATAAAACATGACAAATTAATGATGCTATAAGAAATTGAAGTGAACTTTCTTATTTTTCATTATTTTATTTTAAAGGCTCCTTTTATTTTTAAGTCCTCTAGAACATAACATAATAGTTTCTTGTATTTTAATTTTCACACTAATGGGAAAATAAATAAATAGATAAATAAATTAAAAGTACCAGAATCTTCTTTATTAAATGAATAAATATTTAATAGATATGTTTGGCCATTTCAGGAGTTTGACCTACTCTATTACTCCCTCAGCAGTGCCAGGATTTTCTTCAGGGCTGACAAGACGGCTGCCGAGGAGAAAGAGGAGAGCAAAGATAAGGAAAAACAAGGTCAGCAACACAAATATATGAGACCAGACCATGCACTACTCATACATATTATATAATCAAGATATACAGCCTTTGACAGGGTCATTGAGTGGTATTGTACACTTTCCAACATCACTGTTTTATAAATATTTTCCTTTGAGAACAATATGAGGACAGATTATTATTATTATTATTATTTTTTTTTTTATTTGATGTTTTTTCACCAGGTGATCAAGCCTCAGGAGAGGGAAGTGGTCAGGAACAACAACAACAACAACAACAGCCCTCAGGTGGGTTTTACTGATTTATAGTTTACAGTGCAGTAAGCACTGTTAGTTAAGCGAATGAAAGCTAACAGCATATTTTAATTGTGTATGTGCACATCTTTTGAATTAATAAAAGAGAGATAAACCTTGATTTATTTTATAGGTGGCCTTTGATTTAAGAATATTAATGATCATCCAAGAAAGGAGTTGCTATTAAGACATTATTCAGGGCTATAGTGATGTTATTTCTGTGATTAATTCTATAATTAATTACTGACCATGTCTTGATAAAATGTCATGTTTTCACTGATTAAAGGAACCAGTTCATGACAGAAATGAGGTAAACCTTGTATTTATATCTGAGTGTGCTGCTATAGGTGATAGATACCATATATGGTGATATTTACCATATATGGAAGATGGTAGTATATGTTACCATGGCTTCTGTTACCATATGTGGTAATGGTTTGCTTGTTTGCTACATGTGTCTGTTCATGCTTTCTTTATGTAGTAGCTTTTTCTAAAATATGTTTGTGACCATTTTTCCTGGTTTTATTTGCTGTTTTGTAACTTTCACATGTGCTCTGTATACTATCCCATATGCTAAGTATACTGTCACATATGCTGTGTATACTATATACAAACAAATCCCCGATTTTATAAAAAATACATCATAAACCAAAGATGAAACAAAAAATGTTAAATCTCATGTAAAGTTGTGCAATGTCAGTATTCAACATTCGGTCTTTAATTTTTCATTTTTCCACAGTGACATTAAATAACAACACCTCAGCATATATTGTCTAAATCTGCAAGTCAGCTGCATGCAGGCATCTCAGCCAGGCACATTCTTCCTGTGATGCTATGACAGCCCCCTAACAGCATGACTAATGTGTTGTGTTTTACATGTAGATGTACTGTCACTGTAATGGATGTGATGCTTAAACTGTGTACAATGTATATATATTTGCATTCTAATTCCCCTGACTGAAAACTATAAATGTACTAGTTTATAAATATTCCCCTGCTTGGGTAAAAGTGCTTCATAATCTTTGTCTGTTTTTAGTTTGTCGAATTGCATATTTTGCATTTTTTCATTACTCACCATGGTAATTTCTATGTTAATATCATTGGGTTGAAGATATTATCACAATGTTTTAATCAGATATATATTTTTACTTTTAAGTTAAAATATTAAAATATGACAAAATTTTTCAGGCATCTTCATTTTAACAAAAATTTTGAAAGAAAAAATGGTTTAATTTCTCACCAGTGCTCATTTTATGAGTTTTATGTTATTTCCTGTAAGGGCCATTCTTTAAAGCAATGTTAACACCAGTTTTCATGTTAATTTGACCTCTTGCACTTGTTCCTGAACCTAATGTACCTAGATGTTGTGTCAAATGAAATTGTTTGAAATGTTTTAACACTTTGTTTGATGTGGTTAAAAAGCACACTGCTGTGGGCAAAAAAATTTGAAAGAGAAGTTGTCTTTCATGTCTTTGCTTTAGCTGATAAGTTATGGCCGTCGGCTTATCTCCAAGACATCATTTATTGCGTTCCTCCGAGGATATAAAAATACATTTACATTTTGATATGGAGGCGACATGCAACAGGTCAGCATAGGTCACTGCTGGGTCTTCTCAAGACAAGCTTGCATGTTTAGGGCAGGGGACAGACTATGGATGTGCACTTTTTATTTAATGCTTCCTATGAATCCCATATAAATTAAAATTTTAGTAAGGAAATTTACTTTTGAATGTACTTGTGAAAAAAAAGCAGTCCAGGGAATGGTGATAAAAGTCAGAATATTTTTCCATAAAGTGATTACCTTGTTTATAAAACTTCATTCTTTGTGCACTTTGATGGGAAAAATGCTAAAAATGTCAAACACTACTTTAAAAAATAGCACGGTTCAGTGCAGATGTGAAATTTAAATGTTAATGTCCTCCTTTCCTTACACAACATAGAGTTTCTCCATAGACTTATATAGCCATCATGTACATTGATATAGACAGCAGCATTGAAGGGTGACTTAGGGCGCATTCCCATAGATTTTAGATCGAACTATCCCTGTGGGGAGTCTCACTAGATTACTGTCAGATAATCTGGCTTAAATGTCCGTTCCGCCTACTACAGTAACAAGCTGTAAGGGGATAATTAACTTTCGTGCCCGCTCGGCCGACAGCTATTTAGCGTGAACCCCCAGGGAGTTAGGTCGATCTAGTTGGATCGATCTAATCTCTGGGAATGGGGTCATAGTCTGTGATCTGAGGACACTAGAGTTCACCAAGTACGACTGGACACCAGCTGTTCTTGATTTAAATTTAAATATTTTATAATCATTTTTATCACTTGAAATTATATTTATTGTCAGGTCACTTTGGAATTTAGTTTGATCTTTGCCATTGTTAGAGTACAGGGTATAGACCACATGATTGTAATAATGTCTGGCTCAAATGTCCATTACTAGGAATGCAATCCCAAATGGGCAGATACCTACCTGAAAGTGGTGGTGGTGTATTCATCATCAAATTATGTCTGCTTTTGTGCTAATGGGGAAGATAAGAGACCACAAATGTCCCACTTGTCTGTGAAATTTCAATGGCACCCATCATGATGAAGGCCTAACTTACCAAAAACTGTATTTTGTTTAATTTTAGATGCAGCAGCACCACCGCCGCCACCAGTTGAGTCTTCAGGGGGTGCACCACCACCCCCACCCCCTCCGCCTCCTCCACCGCCACCGCCGCCTCCGCCAATGTAGATTGTCAGCTGACCATGAGGACTGGACGTATTATTACAGGACAAAGTGCTCATATCCCTAAGTGCATTGTTGCAATAAGTTGATATATCCTGGTTTGTGCTGATGAAAAATAATATAAATATAAAAATATGCTAGAAAAATATCAAATTTTGAAAGATGAATTTATTGACAGTTAATGTGTTTACTGTCACAAAGGTGCTTATGCTCTAAGAACTAGACATTTATATCCAAGGTATCACATTGTTGATAGTTAATTTAATGGACATAGAATTACAAGAGGTAAATGAACTTTGATAATTAACATTTATTATTAATTATTTAAAATGTCACATGTTCTGGTGTAACTTTTGCACCAACAGCTTATAATTGGCATATCTTTTGGGTCATTACAAACTGATGTACCAGAAGTTTGATATTTATGGACAGCACAGATGTCATCTCATATTGTCTCTTTACACTGAGGTCCTCAGCTGTGAAGTCACTGAATCAGAGCTTGGAGACTTGTGTACTGAAATGAGGTACCGGTATTTGAGTAGCAGTTATTCATAGATATTATAGAGCTAAATGAATACCATAGATTATATTAGTTGGTTTCTTATGGCCGAGATAAACAGTTATTTCATGTTGATTCTTGTCTATATTGAAGAATTTTAAGTGGTGCTTTAATATTGCCCACATCTTGATTAACATATTTATATATTGTGTGGAATGTTGTCTTATAAACCATGTTTCTTTTTTTATCATTTTGAGACAAAAATATCATTTATATTGACAGTCATGTAATTATTTTAAAATATATGGTCAAGTAAAAATGCATACGGTTATCAATGAAAATTACTACTATCTCATAAAGAAGGATTCTATTTTTACTATGATTGTAATGGATCTGTATTATATTACACTGTATTACTGAAGCTACATATGAAATAAAACTTGTTGATGTACATGTACATGTATCAGAAAATATGGCAATAATTGAATAAAAGGAAGAAAAATAATGAACAGGTGTTAAATTGCATAATTGAATAATGTCTGAAATAAACTTGTGATTGATAAACAGTTTTTCATTCTCTGCTTCTCTCTTGCTGATAATTTTTTAATTATTCAGAAGCCCTCAGCAATTGTTTTATTATTATTATCAAACTTGCAACCCGAGGGTTAGATAATTACAATCATTGCATCATAGTTGAATAAAACCAATAGTGAGTAAGAATAAAGGAATGTTAAAAGACATGTAAACAAATTTAAAAAGTCACGCATTGTTCATTTGGTTTAATTGTAGGTCTTTTGAATGTCTCCTGTTCCCTTAATGAATATTTGACATTTTGTGTTGGTTGTAAAAGATAATGCAATCTATGATCCATTTCATTTGATATCCTAATAAACAATTTTTTGCATGCATTGAGCCTTCTTTCACTCAGTAGTTCAAGTTTACTATGTTCACAAGCAGTGTCAAAATCAGGATAAATTATCTTAAGAGCTCTTTCTTGAGACGTTTTCTACTAGGGCAGTCAATTCATTTGTTAACCCGAAAAACAGGGGCACCATATTCTAAAACTGACCGTTTTCCAGCACTCTTCATTTACTTACCGATTTTCTCGGCTGAAACTGATTGAACTGTTATGTGCATTCATTGTCTATTCATTTTACTTTCACGACACCAAATAAGTGACAAATGCTTTAAAACCTGTAAAAAGTCAAATGCAAGAAGAAAAGTGGGATGTACTGTATGTTTTAAGGCAAAAAAAATCTAATCTTATCCATGACAATATAAAAAGCATATGTAATACAATATCTTAAACAATAGTTATACATCTGTAAACTAATACTCCCAAGTAACATAAATAATACAAGAACCATCTCGTTGGGGTTTTGTTGAATGATAAATGTATTAGGTTTTCAAGTCTTAAAAAGGTCAAATTAAACAGCATATCTATTGACATTTAAAAGCGTGCATCTGTTTATTATTATTTTATCTGGTGACCCTTTACAATTATATTACATCAAAGCCTTTTTAGTTTGTTAAAGACTTGAGAAAATAGGTCTGAAGCGTCATGTTTAGAAAGCCTGCCACGCTGCTGTTTATAGAGTGGCCCATTTGTTTATTTTACGACTATAACGACAATACAGGTGCGTGCTACTTTTCGGCATCAAGACAGTAGCGCATGCGCAGTTAAAGGCATCAACACTCCATCGATTTAAATTTTAGCGGAAAGTGCGAATTCCATCAAGAATTCCTGCAAATTTCTAGGAAATATCGACTCAAACATGACATCGATGGAGTCTGTATAAACCGACCAGTATGGATTTGTGCAGTATTCTTAGCATTTTCTTTACAACAGGGTGAATTTTAACACGACAACTCGAGCGTCGTCCATGTGGAATGTTTATGATCAGTCTTGGTGCAGCATGTGATATTTACTCGTTATATCGATGGTTCATACAACGTCTCATAGCCCAGTCATGCTGAAGCCTAAGAGCCCAAAGACTCCTCCAACTAAGGCTAAGAAGGCAAAGGATGTAGCAAAGCACTGGAGCCAAACGGTAAACGAATGTATTGTCTCCGCCGGGCCCGACGGCTTGTTAAATTTAGTGTTGAAGGGAGGGGCCGACAACGGGCAGTTTTGTTACATAGGGGAGGTGAAACACGATAAAATAAACTACCACAGCGGTAAGCTGCACCAGGATGAGATTATCCTCGAAGTTCAGGGTCAGAAAGTTGCAGGGTACACGCAAAGAGACCTCCAGGCCTGGGTGAAGCAGGTCAGCCACAATGGAGCGCCTGTCATGTTCAAAACTGTGCACGCAGGTGAGTACTGGGTGACAAGATTTAGTTTTTATAAAACTTCAAAATATTTTGAATCAACACTCTTTTCTGTTAGTTTATCTTAATCTTAACTTTTAAACTTTGTTTAAATTGTGCATTTGTTTGCTCAGCTGAGTTCAGTCTGTCCTGAAAGCCCTAACACTTGTTGGGGACAGTTCACACTCCTGCACTGATGAACAGATTGAAACTCTGCTGAGGGCACTGATGATATCTTATTAAATTATTGGAATGAGTGATTGTATTGAATGCAGATCCAAATGACAGAGATGATTGAGATGCTAGGGATGCTCAGTTAAATTAGAGGTTGTTGCAGCTGTGTGAATAATCCCAAATTTTGAGGGCAATAATTTGGTGAGCTGCCATACAGCTGTGTGTGACAGGGAATGTACAGGTGTATGTGTGTGACAGGTGCTCTGGAATAGCCCCCAAAAAGATGTAAGGCTACAGTGATGATATAATAAGGATCAAGGTTAGGATTGTCTGGATATCTTTAACTTTTTGAATGTTTATGAACTGTTAATTAGAGAAACCCAGGCGAATTAGTAGATTTTGTCTGTCAAACTGGAATAATGCCAAAATTTAAATCAAATACAGATATCACATTACTTAAAGCTTGTGGCATATATATCCTGTAAATACAGTAGGGAGATTTTATGTTGATATTTTTGATATTTTATGTCACATGAACTCTATTTTATTAGAGGTAAGTTGATCTTTTTAAGTCACTGCCATATGATATTCATAGAAATTGATGAAATATGAAAACCATTGCTGTGGAAAGTATTAGTTGGTGATGCAAAAAGACCCATGTTATATAGAGGTGCTTGGCAAAAACAAGAAACTTTTAGTTATAATATGTATTTAAGATTGATCAAAATGTGTTTTGAGCGATGGTTTTCAGAGTGGTGACGTGGTGGATATCGACATGTTAACAGCTGCCTGCAGATTTTTTTCAGTAGAAAACATTTAGATAGAGACAGCCAAAATGACTTCCCTTCTTTTTATGCTGATGTGAGCAGCCAGGTCTAGTGGGAATGTGTGGAACATGTAAATCAAATGAACAAGATACGATTTATTTGGTTTCTGGTGCGTTCGGGGAAATTAGAAGCCATTGTCTGCGAGCATACTAATACACCCAAGCAAACAAATCATTGCTGTGTGGATTGGCTGACATCTTAACTGATCACAAGTTTACAGCCCAATTATGTTCTGTGCAGATGATTAAGCTTTCTCACCTGACTAATTATAGACATGTAATTACTCTTGTTAGTTTTATTGAATTAGGAACATGCTTGCTGTGGAAAATCACCTGTTTCTTAATGAGTTTTGTAATTAAGGTTGTTAACAAGGATTGGGGTAAGTGATTCACCAATCAGCTGTGGATGCAGTGCTTTTGAAGGTGAATTGGTGCTAGTTAAAGGATACAGTTACTGAATAATGTCCAATGTGTTTTTGTAATATCTGGTGTTTGAAGATGGTTGACAGCAAATAAAAGCTGTGTTCTGATACTGTTGTTCTTCTTCTGGAAACAGAGGTCGCTCCTTGCCTGATTTGAGTCAGTTGTTTCAGTGTAAATGTGTCACATTATTATTCTCCAAATGTTACCACAGCAAATTCGTCTCCTAAACAGCCAGGGTAACAACAGGTCATCTTGACTGGATGATTTCACCATCTGGAATGTACACTGGTTCTATTATATAGTGGGCTGTAGGAGTGAGTGTGGCTAGTTATTAATACAAGTGGACCTTTACTAAGCTACAGGGTCACTTAAAATGCACTACCTCATTTTGAGTCATAGGCCTTGAGTGATGTGACAATATTGAGTTGATTTAGTACAGTCAAAGTGCATGGCCAAATGTGACCAGTGTGCAATAAATGTGATGTATGTTTTCATCTAGATGCAAATGAAGAGATATATTTTCAGTAGGGCTTTTAATTCCAATATACACATGGTCTAAAGATAGGTTGCTTAAAAATGCAGTGGTTGTTTGTTAGATGTTTGTTAGAATACTTTCTACAAGAGCCAGCTCAGTTGTTGTGTAGTCTTCTCCAGTGTGTGTAGACTGCCCAAAGAAAAGAAAGTTTGGATATCATACTAAGTATTGAAACAGGTTGTCATACTGTCAGAGAGAGCACTGGGTCATTTCTTATTTGGAAGAGGGAAGTTAAAAGTGAAGGACTCTTGAGAGAGCTTAATCTACCAGATCATGAACATCCCATGTTATTAATGTATGCAGAAGTCATTAGTATGAGTGCCTGTGGAATTAATGAACAGATAGTCACACTTCTGCTCCTCCTGATGTTTTTAGAAAGATGATAAAACTACAAACATAACAATGTTTCATTTTGAAGAAATGATTAACGATTGACAGCATCCAGGGTTGTATGATTAGAAGAAAATAAATATTGAATGCCTATAGCTTAATTAAGGAAGTGATACTTCTCAATGATGTTTGTAGTGTGGGTTATTTATTTAGAATAATAAACTTATCATCAGGTCTTTGTTTGTTGAAGTTTATGTAAGATATTATGCTGGTTAGAACATATATCCATTATGATTTGAAATCAACATGATTAATATTAAACTGATAAAAGATGAGTTTCTGGTTTGCTTTAAGCAGAATCGAGTTATATCGCACTAGAAGAGCTCGGGACATGGATCACAAAAATTTTAAGACCAAAAGTTGTTATTTATTTTCAAACCAACATGTTCAGTCTGCTATGAACTCAGATCCAGGTGACCCAGACTCTACAGGTGAAATATAACTGATAGAAGAGTTAATGATGGACTAGAAGGTGACAGGTTCCTGGAAAGATAACACCTTTACCTGGCTGGTCATCTCTTCTCTGATCTTGGTTTATTTTAACACAGTTCTTTGTAATTTTTAATTTAGCCTGGATGGATTTCTTTGCTTGGTTCAATCAGAGTCATTATATTTTCATCAAACAGGAAGATTGCAGGATATGCATTTGGGTTGAAAATTCAAAAATATATTTACAAAAGTTTTTTTTTTCTGCATAAACAGTTTTGTACTTAATTTTAGTCTTTCTTCATATAATGTTTGGAGAACTTTAAGTGATTATGTTTTTTTTTTTTTTTTTAAGATTTGAAAATTAAAATATATTTCATATATGTTTTGGATTCAAGTTAATATTATGGATATGCATGTGAATCCATCATGATTACATGAAGACCGGTCTTGTTTGATGTTTTGTATATATATATAATTGGTAACTTATAAGTATATAAGTCAGATTCTGTCTGTAACTCTTCATCTTGCTGAAGTCATTAAACAGACATGCTGAAAACTTTTCAGAACTGCCGGACATTCGGACCGGCAGTGATGAAAACTTTGCCGGACCGAATGGACTTTTGCCGGACCGAAAATGTCCATTCAATAATGGAAACGTTTTGTTTGCATAGTAGTACACAGAAGTAACTCTTGTAAATACATATTCAGTAATACTATTAAATAATTTGGACATGTTGTAAATTTAAAAAAAACAAAAACACACACTTGTGAAGCACTGCTTTATTGTTGTACTCATTTCACAAGTTCCAGGGTTCATACAGGCCTTTAGAAGAGCTTGACTTTGTTTCTTCCTTTGAAAGNGTCTGTTAAAGTCTCGAGTGTTCTCTCTCAAAATCTGAAACAGTTTCCATAGAAAGATTCTGTTATTTGCCCTGGGTTTGTTTTCCTAGTAATTAGAACAAGTGGTTGCAAGGAGCAGTAGCCAGCCCTATGAGCAGCTGAGTGTTTGATTGCTGCTGAAGTGCACCTGAGGACTTGGAGGGAATGTCCAGTTTACACTGGAGAGAATTTGGATCAAAAGGGCATGCTTACAAAGAGAGAGAGAGAAATATGAGAGAGAGAGAGAGAGAGAGGTCAAACTGTAAAGCATAATGGTCCGTTGCATTATGGCATTGAAACAATAACTAGTATACTATATTATTGCTAGGAATTTATACCCTCTACCAGGGCAGCGGATTGATAATGTGCACTTTTCTTCAATGTCAGAGTTGAAAAATGTGTCATGAATTAGTCAGAGACACATCTGTGAATATCTTGTGAAAAATCTGTGGCCCTGGTAGAGGTGAAGGAATTTGCACGTAATCTTACTCCGAGCGAACTGAGATCACTTGAGAACTCGCACTTGTGAATTGTCCTATCTTAGTTTACATAACTGGTGGTATCAACTCTGCTAGATTCTGTCTATTGATTATGTGTCAGCCCCCTCCGCCCCAGACAAGAAGATCTTCATGAATAATGATAGCTTTTTTCAACATGTTGAGATGGAGGGATCAGGACTGGGAATATTATGAGGAATAGATAAGAAGGAAAGAAAAAAAAACTTGATTATCTCAGGTTTATAGTGAACCTTGAATGGCGGAGAGAGGGATATAAAAAAAAGTTGTTGGAGAAGAATGAAGTAATTTAAAGGAAAAACTGCCCTAGTGGAAAATACTAAATTTTAAGATCTTTTTTTGCTGTTTTGCACTTGTATTTATGGTCTACAAGCTTTTGAAAAACTGCACTTTATCAGTTTTAAATGTTTAGTGAGCCAACAAGAACTTGGTATGTTGAAATTAAATTACTCTGGGACAGAATCTGGTTGAAATATGTGAATACACTCAGGCCATACAGCAGTATATTAACTTGCCAAATGTGTCAAGTGGCACTATACCTAAAAGTACCCCATTCCACTGACAGACTTAGGAAAGTTATATCAGATTTTTACCCCTGTGGCTGCAACATGGGTCAAACAGTAAACAACACGATTACACAAATCTTTTAAAGATATAGGAGTCAGTATATTGCAGAGGTATTTAATTATTACAGAGGCTGGCTTGGGGCGAAAACTATGGTAGAAAACTGCTGTGATTTATCAGCTGGTCCCCAGGTAGCAATTGTTCCCATATTGTGAAGTACATTCCAGAGAAGCTTATTTATTTACCTTACAAATTCAGCCTCAATAGAAAC